CATGGACCCTCGTAAAACTCTGTATATGTATCAATATATACTTGAATATGTGACCGCGAAGGGCGCGCGAAAGTCAGGGCGAAAGTTGCGCTAAAGAAAATTATATTTTCGTGAAGAAGTCCATTTCGGGGATATGTTAATTTAGATCAACGCCCATATATATATATATATATAGATAGAGGATTATATTTATGTGTTTACTTGGTTTTGCAGATAATCATGTCAATCTAGGAGATCCGGGTGGCTACTCCGACTTCTCCACCTGCCAAGCATACTCATTAATGACTTGCTTTCCAAGATGACCGAAAGGTTTATGGTCTGCGTTTTCCCTTTCACTGCCTCGAGCATCCGGCCCCAGAACTGCGATGAAAGGTCTGGCCATCAACCTCTCTGCTCCCACCGTGCACGTCCCTGTCGCCAGCGTGGGCAAGGCACCCTGGGCCCCAAGGGTTCTTTTCAGAGGCTCAGAGCCACCAGGGAAGCGGGCAGCGGTCGGCTGTAGCCTTGCAGATGTTCTCAGATGTCTCGGTTACGGCCCATGTCCGGCACGGCTTCCACCACTGCATAGGCTGTGATCACTTTGGGCCAGCTTACCCTGGAGACTCCAGAGCCGTGCCTCTTCGAGTGCTGCTTGGCATTGCTCGGCCTGGGCTCCAGATCTCACTGACTTGGCCCACGACTAGTAGGAGGTTCATGGGTAGTTATAAGTGGGGTTATAAGTAGGGTAACTATAGCTATAAGTTATAACCCATATTAGGGGACTTGTAACCCTACTTATAACTACCCATGGACCTCCAAGTAGTAGGATACGAGTGTTGGGAGTCAGAAGAATCCGGGTGTGCCGCTGGGCGGTAAGGTGCTCTCACGGCTTTGTGTGGAACGGGCTGTAGTGACGAGTGGAGCTGCCAAGGGAATGGGAGCGTTTGCAGTCGGTTAGGGTTAGGGTTGGGCAGCGCTCGCCACAAAAGGGTTTGCTCCAGCCATTGCACCTGTTTCCGAGGCTTACAGTTTGAGCTGCAGCTCAAGAACACGCAGGTCTCCACGGTGTTTGCAACCGGTGATGTGTTTGACACTCGAATGCAGCTGGTCTCAGGCAATTGGGTCGAGTGGCAACATCTCACGAGCTCAGGACGTGGTGGAACCGCTTCCGATTACCATTTCGCTCAAGCAGCTCGCGGGCAAATTCCGGGAGACAGCACATAATGCTTGCAGGCGTCTGAACATTCCAGGGCAGAGCATGTGCTACAGTGCCCTTCCGAGGTATGCAGAGACGCCCAAGGATGTTTCCATTGTTGTCGCCATCAAGGCACAAGCAATGCGCAGAAGGTTGCAAGATCGTTTCGATACCTTGGAGACGCCGCCGCAGTAGTATGCTTCAACACACCTCAAGCTGCCCGAAACCCTGCCGACCCGAGACACCGACGCAGCATCAGTCAGCCCGGCTTGCAGATTGGACACCTGAGCCTGTCGGCCTCGCCAAATTCTGTGAACCTCCTGATGGGACTCCCGCAAGCAGTAGTGGACATGCTGACTCTTGGCAGCAAGTGTCAGCAGCTGGCGTGGAAGAGGTGAGAGTGCAGTGAAAGAGTGGAAATTTTTCTTGCCAAAATGCGCTGATCGCAAGGACGGTGCCAATAACCGTCCGGCAAAAGAAGCCCGCAGTTCTGGACAAGGAATCGCGGTCAGAGCAGAGTTCGCAGCAGATGCCTTGATGATTTAAGTAGCCGACCCGTTTTTGTCGGACTGCCTTTCGAGCTGCTGGGACACTTCAGAACCCCAGATGCTGTGAACTGGGCTAGGAATTAAGCAGCTTTGTTATGGTTTCGTCATGCGCAGCAGCAACCAAACAGATGGGAAACCAGATGCGCCAGCAGGGAAATCAAGTTCGGAACATGGGATTAGACCAAGAACATCGCCAACTTGGCATCCTTTGTTCGTAACTTTGCATTTTTGCTGCAGCTCTCAAAACTCGCCTCATAATGACCTTGTCTTGACTGTCTCCGACAGGGGGGTACGCTTCTGTGCGGTGGAGCACTGATCCTCTTGGTGTGGAGAAAGAAAGCGAGGGAGATGGAGCCGGGGAAAAGGAGAAACAGACAGAAACACCTCTACCAGTCCCATTGAAGCCTTTCTATAATCGTGGGAAAGTCGGCTGTTGGAAAAGCCACCACAACTCCATGGGGGATGGGATGCAAGAGAAGAGAGGAGAGCACCCAGAAAGACAGGAGAGTAGACGTGAGACCAGGAGGTACTGGGTAGTCGTATGATGCAATCTAACAATAGTCAATAGTAACATGCAGCATAGTATAGTGCATTGTTTTGTAAACAGTATACTATATTCTTACAAAGTATGAGGAGAGAAGAGCTGTTCCAACGCGGAAGGCCCTTGAGGCCGTCCCGGTGCAGAAAGAGCTGAAGCGGGCAGGCCAGCCCATTGCAATGACTCTGCGGAACATGCCCATCTCAAGCCGGAATGACTGGCGCGCTGATCTCATATGGCATGGTGATTTTGCGATATTTTGCGAGTCCTGGGGTGCTGCTTTTCGAGACTCGAACTTGAAGCCGCAGCACTTGGAAGGGGTGTGTCCTGCAGGCAGTGCCGTCGGTTTCAGCGCGACCGAAGTGCTGGGCGAAGATTTCGTCGCGTTCAAAAGGCGCGGCAATTCATCAAGGGCCAGCTGTGCTGTGTTTCGTTTGACGCCTTCGAGTGCACAGCCGCAGGAAGTTGCCAGCAGTACATATCGTAACAGCGCTCTGTTAAGTCCATCTCGCAAGGTAGACTTTCATAGGTGAAACGATCCTCCACTGTCACCCTGCTTCCTTCAAGCCCTCCGGCACCGGCTTCCCTCCCCCAATTCAGCAGGGCCGAGGAGCTGCAGAAGAAGCCCATGCGGACCAGCGTGACTTGAATTGCAAAGTCATCCTCCGGCATCGCAGCTTTTGCGCCTGTCTTGCTTTGGGGCGATACCAGTATGCGACATTGAGAAAGACAGAGATAGCCAGCCCAGCCTGTCCAAGCCGCCGGGTGCGCCGGCCGGGGAAGCCAGCCGAGGTGTCACTGGCCTTCGATGATGCCACCTTCTCCCTCAGCGACTCGATCATGCCGCTCCTGCGCTTGAAAATGGAGGCCATGCCTCCCGGGCTGCAGGTCAGTGCTACCTGGCCGACGTTTTCGAAAGCCTATTCGGAATCATGGCCTCCATCTCCATTGTAAATGCGAGCCTGTGCGGGTGGCGCAACTTCCCCAAGCATCCAATGTCAAGCACACGGCATCTGCATCATCTTTACGCCGAGGTTGAGAGTGGAAAAGTGGATGTCAAGCTCATGGAGTCCAGCCTCAGCATCGATGTGTTGAATACACGGTCGGGCGCTCGGGAACCATTGGCCTTCTTTTTTGCTGCCCAACGACCGGTACCGGTATCACTGCCACCCAAGCTTGCGCCGAAGTCTCGAGAGTCAAACCTGGGTAGGACAGCCCGGCGCTGAACCCTAAACCCGAAACTGCTCGTGTTGTGCAATTTGATGAATGCTCTATTTTCCAGGCATGGCGATTGGGAACCCTTTCTGGAGCGCTTCGATTTCGGCGTGTCCGTAGTGATGTCTCAGACTATGCGCATCTCCCTGTGGCTGGGCTTAGTAGCTTCCTTGGATCTCCGGCTTTGTTGAAGGTAGTCACCCAGGGCTTTTTTTAGTGCTACAAAAGAGGCTTCATCCTTGTCTCCTCCTCCTTTCTAAACCCTCAAAGCCCAAAAGAACCCTAAAAGCCCAGAAGAACACTAAAAGCCCTAAAAACCCTACACCCTAGGCATGCACTCGGGCCTCTCCACCTGAACCTCGTCCCCAAGCCGACGCGGCAAATCCTGGAGTTGCTTCCCTTGCTGCTCACGAGCCTCAGGTCTGACGAAGTGTCAGCAAAAAGTTCTTTGTGGGGATCAGAGGTGCTATTCTAGTAGAGTATACTATTTTCTATATTAACATAGTATTTCATATTTCATTATAGTATACTATATTACAATGTAGTGTGGAAGTTAAAGAGGGGCTGTGATGTTGAAAGGCCTCCGCAATCATCGACAGAAGCAGAGAAGAAGCTCCTTGACAAAATGTATGGATGTCGGTAGACTTGCAAGTGGGGTAATATGGGGGCCTAAATAATTACCTACAATAGTTGGGGGACTTTGCACCGCCTGAAATAAATACAATAATTGGGGGATTCCTTATTATAAATACATACTATTATTATTATTATAGTATAACATACCCCAAAACCTTATTCTAATTATTAAGGCCCCTGCATTACGCCGAGACTTAGTCTTGCCGCGTCAGACGGAGAGCAAAAGCTCAGCCCGTGGTCGAGGACATCCTGAGACCCAAGATTTCTCCCGAAACGGGTATCGGAACGACCTTTCGTTTGCCTCTTTCCTCACAAGCCCTCAATAGCTGTTTTGTGTTTCAGCTCCGAGGCCTGATGAGAGCTCGTCAGCGGCAGATTCGGGTTCGGAAAAGCTTCGCGTGGTGAGCTTGTGGGGGGGACAGCTGGAGGTCCTGTGCATTGGCGCCCGAGCCTGGGACCCACTTGTTATGCTGTTGGCCGTTTGCAAATCATGGTGGCCATGATTGCCGTGGTATGCCTGTAAGTCGATTAGCAGTCTCACGCAACAGCGATGGCAGCATGTTTGTAGCTGGGTGGAGAGATGCTGTCCTGTGGCCCATGGACATCTCAGGAAATGCAGAGGCCAAAGTGGTGATCCAACCAACCGGCTCCCAGTGGGTAGCCTTGGACGACAAGATCAGTGCACTCACACTGCAACCCGCCCACGGATCTTTAGTAGAATGCAGGCTGCTTGCTAGAGGCTAGAGATGACAATCGAATGATATATGTATGTGTATAAGTATATGTAAAATGTAAACAACTTAAATGTAATGTAGTAGTTCATGTTGTGTTGCATTTTTGTGTTATGTTACATTAGACTATATCATGTTTATAGTTTGTTCTATGTTTCCTATGACTCTGTCATGTGATGAGATCAGGTTATGTCATTGCGTATCATCTTACCTAATGTTCGTTTTGAATATAGCATAAAATGCAGTATGTTATGTTATCTTCTACTATATGATATGATGCTACACAATGCTAGTGTGTTAATTTTCATTCTAGCATTTCATATTGCATTACTTTATATTACATTATCTGATGTTCAATTATACTCACTTAGAGTACATATGTGCATTCTATCTATCTTCATAGATATATCTGTATCTATATCTATATATTTATCTATATCTATATCTGTATCTATATCTGTTTATATATATATATATGTAAGTCAGTAGGTAGGCAAGTAGGTGAGTAATCGAGGCGAAGCTTGCGGGTGCGGGTCCTTGGCTCCGAGAAGCTCTCGGAGCCGCTGTGGTTCGAGCAGAATGCCGCGGTGATCGTACCAGACTGCGAGGGCCCCTCGTGTAGCTATGTACTATAATTAAGTTATATGTAGTATGCTATGTTTGTGACCAGTGGAGCCTGTAGGAGCNNACACTTAAAAAATATCCGCTTTCGTTGGCTCTTCCTATTCCGACTTCAGCTGATGTCAAGCTCCCTAATCTCATTCTATTGGAATTATTAACTGCTGAATTATCATTCAAAAAAATAATATTTCCGTCTTCTGTATTAGCATTGTGACCAGTGGAGCCTGTAGGAGCAATGGATATCAATATTTATTTTTTTTATGGTTTTGATACACTTTCAATACGATAGGTCGATACGATTTGGGTACGGTCTTTTTGCAATTACGATTTCATTACGATCGGCTGATACGATTTCAATTTGGCTGGGTGGCGGCTCAATTGGTCGTAAGCTATCAGACACGCCTTTGTCCGGCTTAGGGCTCCAGACGGGCTGAATAATTACTGCGCTGACTTTGCAATCCAAGTGATGACACACCCTGGCCTCTGTACTATCTTGCATCGCTATGCTCGGA